CTATCTACTACTCACATTTGCATGCTTTCGAATGGCTAGGTTGGTAGGAGCGCTGGGAGGAGCGACAGGAACTCACTCCGTTGCATGGATTCGATCTTACGACGGCTGGTCTTCCAACCTCACAGCACAGAGGCTTTTGCGGTTTAACCTGCAGCACCACCACATTCCTTTAAAAACCTCCAAAGAAGGAAAAAAACAACATGGGGAACCCTTTTGAACCTAAACTAGTTTCTGAAACAGATACCAAGGAAGGCTGTGAGGTCCATGGCAGACAATCTGCTTTGCTGGCAGACAGTCGTATACCTTCAGTTCTCGCCTGCTCTGACGTTTACCCTGGAGAGTGGGCCCCAGGTAGAGCAGACTCTGCCTTGCCATACGGCAACCACTTCCTTGGTCCCTGAGGGACACAAAAGAGATCTTAAGAGTAACCCTCCTCGGCTTTCTCACCTCTGAGCTCAAACCACACCGTAGAGATTACAGTATAGGGCAGTTAATGTTCCTCCAAGGACTCCAAGAGAACAAATGTTGGTCCTGTACCTGGAAGGAGTGCTCCCTCAAGTGGCAAAAAAGGTGTAACAGTGACGGCATTTTCAAAACAGCAGTTCTCTTTGCCTGCCCAATTGTGGGACAAGCACTGTGAAGGGGATCACGCTGTTGTGGGGGAGGAGGGAAGATTGTAAGAACAAGAAAGAGGGGCTCAGTGCCTCATCCATTGGGGGTCCTAAGACTTCACAACTTTCCTACTTTAAAGCCATTGACAAAAGAGGCTGCCATCCAAGGCCCACTTAACCTGGAAATAAGCTCTATTTGGCTCAGCAGGTTTTACTTCTGAGTAGACACGCAAAGAACTGGCCTGTAGATGGCCATAGGCAAACCAGTTTCCTCTGCTGCACTCTTCTCCTGCCACATGGAATACTCAATACTGTAACTTGCAGAAGTTACTTTTTAAAACGACAGATCCCAGAATCCTGTCGTCCACCTGTTTCCAAGTTCTGCTTAATACCGGCCAAAACGTCAACAAGCAATGTCACTGAAATGATGTGTGTGTGCAGCATTTTGTAGACCTTGCAACATGCTGTACACAGACCAAAGGATTTTGGCGCCTGGGGTAAAACACGCAAATGCTGTGCTCCACCTGACATTAACGCAGGGTGCGTGCTCCGGGGCAGGCCTCCTTGAAACAAACGGGAGCGGCACAAGGTCAGAGTGGCACAGCTGACCATTGGGGTCAAGACTTCATGAATCACTGGCCTATCTTTTTTCCAGCTGCCCACCTCCACTGAACATCGACTGCCTCAGGCAGCTGCCTTTCCCCTTTTTCTAATTTCTTCTGGCTACATCCACATTATTTTATTTCTTGATTGCTGATTACCCTTCTCACGTCAGGTGTGAACAAACTGTAAGGTTCCGATTCTGCAACTCCTCAATCCATCTCCAATTCATGACAACTCTGAAGCCAACACCATGCATTTCGAGATTTTCCCCTATTAATCCTAGAGGAGAAAACTAGGCAACACAGGGGGGAAAGGCAGATCAAAAGTGATCTCTATCAGAAAACCATCTCATCTGGAGCAGAGGCTGATCGCTGCCCCTTGGGATGATTGATGTCTTAGAAACAGACAAACTGATGGATGGCTCAGCCTGGAGAGATCACTCTGATGGAGAAAGGAACGAGAAATTAAAATTTCAACACAGCCCTCTCTGAATTATTTTATTTTGGATGTGTGTACTTCTCTTCCTATTCATTATCAGGTTTCTGGGCAAAGGGGGTCAGGTTCCCTTCCCCAGCATACAAGCTCTGTATCTCTAGCAAATGTCTGTCTTCAGGGAAGCCACGTCATACCGTCTCCAAGGCAACCGCTGCTAGTGCAATAACATCAGGGCTTTACCATGGTGATGCTCCATGAAAATCAAGGGAAGGCTACTCCAAAGTAAATATGGCTCAGGGGAAGTGAGCAGAAACAGGAAAATGCAGTATAAAAAAGTGGCTAATAAAGAAGGTCTTGCAAGGTTGAGAGAGGAAGGAATCAAGATGCCCCTTTCCTGGCCGAAGAGCAGAATTGTGTGGTCCTCTTTTGTTGTCAGAGAGCTACCCACTGTGGCCAAGGCATTTTCCAGAAAACAAACCAACTCTAACCACAAAAGAACCTCTTAAAATTATCTTTAAAAAGGGCTGACTACTAAGAAGCTATTAAGACAGATATACTGTACGAGGTTTAAGCCTCCAATGACATATCACAGCTACACTGAAACCTTTGCTACAGTACTCTACTTTAGTAGACAAGAGTATTTCTGCCATGGGAATTAACCTTTCGTTCCTATTGTTGCCTGCCTTAGACCACAAATGGATCAAAGAAAACGAAACATGAGAAGCAGATTTCTGATTTCCTGAGTCATGATGGAGGCAGGACGACTGTTGTTCCCTTTGCTGCAGGATGTCAAGTCTCTTGCCTTCAGCACCATGCCAGGCAGGAAGGAGGAAAATAATGACTGCCTGCCTCGCCTCCATGCAGCTTCGTGGGACAGAAGATCACCCCTTGCATCCATGTTGGCCTGAAGGGTCTTGCCAGGCCTTTCTGCAGTCTGGAAGAATCTTCCCTCAAAGGTTCTCTGCAGCACACAGGAAGATCACCCCTTGCATCCATGTTGGGCTGAAGGGTCTTGCCAGGCCTTTCTGCAGTCTGGAAGAATCTCCCCTCAAGGTTCTCTGCAGCACACAGGTCAGGGGAACTGTTTTTTAATCTAGTGGCCTAGGACAGGAATCTGCCATTTTCTTAACTTCTGTGATGTCACCAGAAGGAGGTGACGCTGGGATGGACCAAGGCAGCAGGAAGACGTTGATCTGTCCAAAGGAGCTCTACCCACCGGGCATAAGCAGGAAACACGTGTCTCCTCTAGCCGGGATCTCTCCCCAGGAGAACAAAACCAACACAGCAGGCCCCCTTTTTGTATGGGGAAAGCACTCACGTACCTTCCCTCCGCTGTCCTCTCTTGCATCTGAAGTCAAGTACCAACAGCTTGGAAAGAGCAGCACAGCCCAGGCCAGACTGTCCCTCCTTAGAGGGCCACGCCTTTCTGCTTTGGCAGACATTTGGGAGTCGGGGTCATTCCTTCCAAGACGTGCCACGGCCCAAGAGGACAGGACAACCTGGAACATGGGCAGGTCGGGGACCTGTCTTCCCCTTTCCCACAAGATCCCCTGCCTATTTTACTATATTTTAAAGATACCGGAAGCCACTTCAAGAATGCCCATTTGGAACCAGAGTATAAAAACATGAGACAAACCACAGGACATCTTTCAGCTTATCTCCTCAAAGCAGCACTTTATTTCCTTAATTATTTTTTTTTAATTCCAAAACACTTAATTTTGAAGTCTGGCATCTCATTATCATCCACCTTAACATGGGATAACATTGACACAGTGTGGTCAGAATACACAGGCAATGGAACAACCAAAGAATTTACAAAAATAAAAAAAGACCTGCCATGATTCTTCAAAACTTAAAAAAACAAAAGCATACACGTGTCGAAACCAAAACCTCCAGATGCCTTGCCTGAAGCCCAGTCTGTGCATGTAAGAGACAAGCACATATCACTACAGAGCCCCACATACTAAAGTGGAGGAGTCAGGCAAAGTCAGTCCGCACTGGCATGGAGCCACTCCCACTGGGCAGGTTCTGTGTTCTTGCACTGTACGAAGGGGACTGAAGAACAGACGCAAGACACTCCTTCTAAAGGGCAAATGTACAGGTCTGATTTCTGATCAATTCTTCTTAATCACTTTCCATGCTCTCATGAACTCATATAATACAGTATGGACCAAACGAAACGAAAATTCCTCATTTAAAGTTTCTTTCCACACAATTAATATGCCCCCAGAGTAAACAGGGCTGACTACCGCTGAAGTCCCGCTATGCCCACAAAGTCCCGTCTGATGCCATGCCCAGCAAACGTCACAGCTGTGCCAACGAGACAGAGATGCTTAGCACTAAATGCGTTGTGTGATCGTGGCAAAGAAGTGTTGGTGATGGTGATGAGGTGGGTAGTTGATGGAAAGCTGTGGCACAGAAGGCCCTTCAGTTGTTGCCCTCCCCGGCTTCCTCATCCTGCTGGTCGCTGGTCCAGAGGGTGAGGTTGTCTCGAAGGAGCTGCATGATCAGGGTGGAGTCCTTGTAGGAATCCTCGTTGAGGGTGTCCAGCTCTGCAATGGCGTCGTCAAAGGCTTGTTTGGCAAGAAGGCAGGCCTGCTCGGGGGCGTTCTGGATCTCGTAGTAGAACACAGAGAAGTTGAGCGCCAACCCCAGCCGGATGGGGTGCGTGGGCTGCATGTGCTCTTTGCTGATTTCAAAGGCTTCTTTGTATGCGGCTTCTGATGCTTCCACCACACTGTTCTTCTCCTCGCCTGTAGCGACTTCTGCCAGGTAGCGGTAGTAATCCCCTTTCATTTTCAGGTAGAAGACCTTGCTCTCATATTGAATGTCACTGCAGTTTTTGATGAGGAACTTGTCTAAGAGAGCCAGGACATCATGGCATACTGTCTCTAGCTCCTTCTCGATCTTCTCCCTGTAGGCCTTCACCTTCTCCAGCTTCTTCTCATTACCGTCGGCCATGGTCTTCTGTTCTATGCTGCTGATGACCCGCCAGGAAGAGCGCCTGGCACCCACCACGTTCTTGTACGCTACAGACAGGAGGTTTCTGTCTTCGTTGGAAAGAGGCTCATTCAGCTCAGTCACCTGGAAAGGCATATATAGATACTGAAACAATTTCATTTTGGAGGAAACTAATATATATAAAGAAACAAACAAATAGTTATTGACTTAAATTTATTATCCAGAATGCTGAATGGATACAAATTATTTTTAATGGATATTTTGGAAACCATTTAGTAAACCAATATTCTGCATTTATCTCCCATATCTTAGCATCTGAGAAGCTCGTTCAGCAACTTGAAGGACGACATCATGAGCAACGTTCCCTTTAAGCTGCACAGCTGTGCAGTACTGTATTGGTGCCATACACCCGCAGTTAGTGTTGCCGCTTATTTGGTTCCAGTTGTAGCTGGAACTTTGCATGTATGAGGTAGGGTTTCTGCTCAGCGCTGGCAGAAAATTAGAGGGATCACTGGTCAAGACTGTCATCTAGGTTGATATCCGCACTGCTTTCTTATTCAGGCAAGCCAGATGTCCTTTTTGTGTATTACTTTCCAATGCAACACATTCTCCTATAGGCTTTTCCTGAACCTTTTGATGACCCCCTCATCACCACACTCTTTGAGCATGATTTTTCTCTTAAATGGCTACAAAAGGTAGGATTTTTATAGGGGGTGCTCTCCATATGTTGGCCCTGACTAACAAGGTCAGGGTTTACAGAAGCTGTAGATCAAAACCTCTGGAGGGTCCCTAGCCTGCCACACATCTCCTGTTGCCTTGCTGGTCACTACAGCAGCCAATCACCCTGTTTTCTCTACACAACACAGAGAGACTCACCAGGGGCGGGGGTCCAGGTAACCAAGGAAGGCCAACTGGGAAAGGCTGCACCCTTTTTGCCTCCAAGATACAACTGGAACTACCACAGAGACCATTTAAGAGATGAGCGGATCCCTGTCACTGCTTATCCACACAAGGCAAAAGAAAAGGAGAGGATGACTCTTGTCAGTTTCCTGTGGCAAATGCACAGAAGCCAGCAATGGGAACTGTGAATGAAATCCCCTCTGTCTAGAACTAGGTCTGTTACTCATCCTGGATAAGAGGCTGACAAAATCTCTATCGGATTCTACATGCTGGCAAAACTAAAGTAAGAAAGAGAAAATATTTTTTTTAAAAAAAGTCAAAATACTGCAGGAGTTCAAGGACCAGAAGATTGATTCTGGTATGAGCGTTCATAGATCAAAATCTGCTTCTTCAGACAGAGGAAATGCAAATGCTTCTACAGGCTGCTTTTGAACATATTCTACTAGGCTTCCACTGGGGAGAAGCATACTGCTAAGGTCTCAAAGATCTACTAAGTCACCAGCCAGAGGAAATAATTTTCAGTCCTTTGGGGGGAAAACAGTGATTTGCTTTGCAAGGAACAACATATCATGGAATGCTGTAGAAAGAAGGTAGCTGATATCAGTGTTGCCAGAGCAAACTGACCCTGGCTCAAAAGGGTTTTACGCCATATGATGACACAGCTACACCGGGAATGTCAGTACAGAGCCGCATTACCAGAGAATTAATAAAAATCAGATTTACAGAATTAAGTTCTACCACTGATCATTTTCACATGGTTTCTAGAGAATGCAGTGAAGGAGTTGTGTAGGAATACTGTCTAGAGTACACATCCCTAAAGAGCAGCAGTACAGGCTTTTCTGGGTCATATATCTATTTGTCTTTAAGGTGCTAAAACACAGTCTCTATCAGACCAAATACATTAGCAATTAATCAAATCCATACTTTACACATAACTACCCCTTACTAAAATGCTGACAGAATTACCACTGGATGAATGACTGGAACAAGAATTTTTTTTCCCTTTCCGTTTTACAAGTTTCTTATTTTGGATGTGGGTACCATGGAGATTTTAATGATGGAAGGTGCAGAGTTGAAGTATCATACAAAATGCCCACATTAAAATGGAAACCACAAACATTGCTATACTTTCATAGCTGAAGTTAATTTTTTTCAGGAATGAAGGATCCAGCTCCTGAAAGGACTGAAACTGAGCATCTGCTTCTCTAGATGAGAAATGGAGGCCGCAGAGGGAGTCAGATAGCAGGAGCAAAGCAGAGAAGTCTGCTTCCCACTTACCCAGCATCCAGGCTGGATGCACACATAAGATGTCTGAATAAGCATTTGTGTCACTGATGTCATTTTATCAAATTGTTCCTTTGTCTTCTCCTTAGTTCCTTCCAATTTCAAATGTTTTAAATTAAAGCTCCCAGGTATAATCCAATATGATTAACATATCTGAATACACTTCACAAAGGAGAACCAGCCTTATAGTCCAAAGAAATGGGGGCTCAGAATATGGCAGGAATGCAAATTTCCATGAAGGGTTGGGGGAAGACTATGGACCCAAGAATTGATGCTTTTGAATTGTGGTGCTGGAGGAGACTCTTGAGAGTCCTCTAGACTGCAAGAGAACAAACCTATCAATCCTAGGGAAATCAACCCTGAGTGCTCAGTAAAAGGACAGATCCTGAAGCTGAGGCTCCAATACTTTGGCCATCTCATGAGAAGAGAAGACTCCCTGGAAAAGACCTTGATGTTGGGAGAGAGTGAAGGCAAGAGGAGAAGAGGACAACAGAGGACGAGAGGGCTGGACAGTGTCATCGAAGCTGCCAACATGAAATTGACCAAACACCGGGAGGCAGTGGAAGACAGGAGGGCCTGGCGTGCTGTGATCCACGGGGTCACGAAGAGTCGGACACGACTTAATGACTAAACAACAAACCAAAGAGGTTCCATCCTGAACAAGTGACAGCTGAAGTACGTACATGAAAAAATGCACGTACCTACAGAGATTTGGGGACTGGCCAAAGCTAAGATGCCGACATGCTGTCATTCTACTGCTTTCCTGGCCAGTCTAGGGCAGGGTTGCAGCCCAGTGAAAGGAGGTTAGCTTGAAGGTCCTTTAAAATTCAGCTGCACCATCTCCAGGCAGGAAGGGATGGAAAGACCCTCATTTGAAATCCTGCTAACCAGCACTGAGCTAGAATAAGTCTACGTACCCACTAGATTGACCCTTGGTTTGATTCAGCATAAGGTCACTTCCTAAATTTATTAGCAATGGCTTTGCCATTCCTCCCTCATAATGAAATAACAGGTATGCAGCAGACAGAAGTGCACAACAGTTATAATTTCAAGTAGGCACAACTGATGACACATAAAAATCAAGGGTATTGTTCTTGTGGCTACTTCAGCCTTAACATAAATTGCATTAATTTATACAATGGCATGTGACATCAAGAACAAACAGGGAGATGTTAAAAGGAAAGCATTTGTAGGCAATGTGCTTTGTGGAGTAGGAGAAACTTATCACACCATATCTGAATCAGTATCATATTTCCATGTCTTCATTTCGTGAAGATGTACAATACAGTTTTTTTACGCTGAGTTCACAACCAAAAGCAGGTGAAAAAGCAGAGACCAAGAAAAAGACACTCACCCCAGAACACTCCCAAACAGCTGCATCGGAGCTGGCTCCCATGTAAAAAATAATGCTCCAAAGGCTGATAAATAAATCTTTAAACCAGAAAGTTTGAGAACAGTTGTATTGAAAACAAAGCCCAAAACCATAGCCTTTACTGCCCAGACACCCTGCTTTGGATGAGAAATGCACCAGTGCCAGAGCTGCTCTGGTTCAAAGTCAGCAAGCAGCAAGACAGATGGACAGAAATGTTATCATCCTCCAGCAGAGTGACTATCTTCAAGGCCAAGCAGAAGAAAGAACCTGAAGCAGAACCAAAAGTGTTAACAGGGAGAAAGGGTGGGGGTAGAGCATGCAAGACCTCTCTCCACATGCACAGACGGAGAAATGGTAGTCATGATTGCAATTCCCTTGCACAGACTTTTATGGCAAACTCACGACTCTGCAAGAGGGAGTAGTGACCCCCAAAGAGGATTCTCATTCCTTGCACTCATCATTCACCAGAAGAAAAGGATGCCCATGATGGCAAGGCACGGTGGCAAGAACTGATGTCCGCCTCTGCTGGGGAAGGAAAACCATACAGTCCTCATTTACACGGACAAATTCATGTAATCAGATACATTTTCCCTAAGCCAAAAGAATGCACATCAGCTCATTTTTTTGTCTCGACTGCAATGAAAGAAGGGAGTGACGGATGCTCAGAACTAGAGAAAAAAGTGAAATACTGAGACTAAGGTGGAGCATTTTACTGCAGAAAGCCATCAGTTGAAAGGTGGGGCATGAATTTAAGTTCTACATCATCTATCTTTTCTAAACAGCCAGCCTGCTGCCAGATGCCAAAAGGATGGAAAGATACACGATTTCTCCCTCCTGTATCAATCAGAAAGAACAAAAAGCAGCCTGCTGTTAAAACTGAGGATGCTTTAGGATGTGGGTTAAAATAAAGAGTTGCGATGAACAGGATGTCCAAAGGACCAAAGAGATTTGAGGCTACCCAGCGCCCCATGAGCAGTGGGCATGATACACCCCTGGGAAGGTCTTCCCTTGAGAAGGATCTCTGAGAGAGCCTGCTCCAGAAGGAATTCCCAGTGGTGGTTGATGGTGTAAGGAAGGGGGGGGGGCGCTGGCCTCCCTCCCACGTCAGCACTGCCCTGAAGGACAGCCCACCCAACCCCTTGGCCATGCCGCCAGTGGCTTAACAGCCATCATCCTCCGCCACTGCAGCAGGCAAGCACGGGCACCCCCACCCATGACAACGCCCAGGACTGCCCCCCTTCTTCTTAGAGGGTGGGAGAGGGTTATTTTGGAACAGGCTGTTCCAATTTTGACTGGCGGTGGGGAAAGGACATAAGAAGATACGGGGAGTGGGTCCAGTAGTAAAAGACACCCCCCCCCAGTCTACAAGCTGATCTCCCACTCCATCGCTGGGGACCCCTTCCTTTTGGGTG